TATTCGGTGTATGATGTTCTAGATTTATCTTAACTTTTATGTTGCCCGGAATAAAAATTCTGTTTCACAGCAGTATGTTATCAGGTAGGCAATCTACCTGTGGTTATCGCGGACCCCGTGCTGTTTGTACGTAAGTGTATGATTCAACTCAAAAAGTACCAAAGTTATACCAAGGTTGACGTTTTTACTTAATTCCACATACCTATAAATCCTAACCTGACCTAACCGTACTAAAATCCGATGAATAAAAAAAACCAAATTTCGCCCTTTTTAAATTAGCGTATCTTCTTCCCATGGGTCTAATCTACACACCGTCATTCATTTATATAAGATAAGATTTACATAAAAATAATAATACAAATCAACAAACATGCCCGATAACCAATAGCAACCAATATAATATAATACACCATAGAGTAAATAAGACAACGGTATCGAGTTCAAATCCCAGGACATCAATAAATAGCTATTGCAGTTTTTCGAATTATTCAGTGGACTTTTTAAAAATTTTCCTTCGTAAAAACCTTCACCTATTAATTACGAACATCTTAAAAAAAATTGAGACAAATCGGACCAGCTGTTCTCTAATATTTTTTCTTTTCGATTTTTATCGATATTAATCGATTTCAAGCCCTGCTATTATCGATATTTGTATTATTATTTATATTATATTTATATTTATATTTTTATCTGCTAGAGGGCGCCACCGGTGTAACTCAGTTTTTGTCTCTAAATCTCTAACTCACATGAGTTAGGTCCATAATTTATGCTATAAACCCGCACCCCGACATTCTCTATCATTTAAAAAAAATTTGAGCAAAATCGGCCCAGCCGTTCTCAACTGAAACAATTTCGAATTTTTTGTCTCCATTTTTATATATATAGATTACTAAGTACTAATACATATTTTATTATTTAATCAAGTACGCATCTGAAGCTATCAAGGATCAATAATCAATTAATGACTACGTCACTATATCGGCAGATTTCTAACATATACTTAATAATTAGGTACTTATGTTTAAAAATGAATTAATTGTGTTAAATTGATTGTGTGACATACATTTTGGTTATCTTGAATAATTATCATTACAACCGTCAACTCATATTTACACCTCTGGTATATTAAGACCAATTTTGTAATATCAAATCGTTTGAACTATAAACTAAAACAACAAGGGGGAAAGTAGATAACCGCTCTGCCGTACAGAATACAGATAGCTAGGTTTTGAGTCTACCTCATTATTGAGTAGGTCACTATTATGGATCTATTACATATTTATATTTGAATTTAAATTTACATAATAAATCATGGTACCTATATGATGAAAAACGAATCCAACAGTCAAACCTTTTGGATACCAAATAACAATAATATCACAATTTTAACATATTATGTTCATATCTTTTGAGCCCCCCGCCCTTTTTAATTTTAATTTTTAGTTAGAATAAGTATATCAAAAAATACCATAGAAACTAATAATATTATTATTACAATTTAATCAACAATAAAAGTAAAACAATAATATGATATTATTATTGTATAGAGGTACCTTTATAACAGGTACAGTAATAACTCATTAACGTTGGTGGTCTGTTAAACATATATTATTGCAATTTTCAGCTAATTGAAATAAATTCATGTGGTGACATGACTGCAGATATTTTTCAATTGATTTTGAATTATTGTACTAAATTATGCTCACAAACCATAATTTTTGATTTTTTCGTTATTATTCGATATATTAAGTGCAGTTTTCGGAAAACAAACGACATTTCCAATCGTCGAATATACTTTTATGCATTGCTTTTGTGCGATGTACACCTACTGTATGTTTACCATAGGAATGTGTTTTCGCGTGTCCACAGGTGACATGCAAAATTAAGATTTAAAGTTAATAAAAAAATTTCATTATTTCCCACTCGTTGCTAATAATTGAATAAGTCCACAATTTAGGAACCCTTCGTGAGATTGTCTTTATCTTACGGTTACCTACTTTGTTTTATTATATAGACGCGGAATCTGCAGGTGGCGAGATATTCATATATTGTTCATTGCGATAAACTTTGACTTTTGATCTGCTTGTTGCTTGTATATCGATAGAACTCCCACCAATCAATACTCAATAGCCTAATAATGTATCTTTTATTATAAGAGATTATCAAAAATGTTTTGATTAAGTTTACGGTTTGTTTTTTTCCGTCATTGGCATTCGTAACAAAATCGAAATCACTCGGCCCCCAATTAGTTATATAACTGCTTCAGATGTAATATGTTATTATCACTGATATATAACATTATGTGGTTGAACGAGGAAATTCGCATGGATGTTGTGCATCAACTTATACGTGTGATTACTACATATATATATATTATATACAGTGCTGACCTTTATTACTGCTCACGTATTATTAAATTGTATTTACTTGTACTAACTTCGACATGATGTTTGCTCTCAAATTATTGAATTAGCCATTCAGTTTTCAACATAAAAACAAACATAACAACGGTACAATAATAGCTGTTGGCTGGCTTGTACAAATAATTTAATACGGCAATCATTTTCCATTGTCGTCTAGTGATTAATCAAACAATCGTCAACAACTCGTTACAATAAATGAGGTATTTTATAAATCTGCAACTCTCGTGTGGCTGTGTATTTTAATTTTATACTGTTCAAGGGAGGGCCGTGGTCCCCGAAGCATCCATGGTGTACTATAGGCTGGCTAACTTTATACACTGTGGGTCACAGGTCACTGCAGGTGTGCCTACAACAGTTTTGTAAAGAATAATTTAATTTTGTGTTCGAATATACTTCAATAAATTAAATATATGTATCTGGCGTATAAAAAATGTCCGGTTTCTATAACACATTTATATTTTTGCAGTAAACTCGCAACAGTATTCATATTATATACCTATACTTAAGTACCTACTACATATATTCGTAAAAAACTTTGCAGGTGTATCTTTCCTATTGATATTCGAGGAGATAACGCAGGTTAAAATATTGTCGATTAAAGTTATAGGGTAGAGACCAAAGAATATCATCAACGCAAAAACAATAATAAAGTCTATAGACTGAGTACTCAAATAATGTATTCAATATACCCATCACACGTACGTACCTACTTCCTGTCGTCGATTAGAGTAGACAAAATATCAATATAGATAATATTAATATAGCTAACTACCTAAGGTACCTACCTAAGTATAAGTATACCTATAACAGTAGCGTACGCAGGATTTTAGTTCGGTTAGGGTTTTACCTGAGTAAATTATTTACATTATTTTTTTCTAAGCAGTTTTTATATAATTGGTTATAATAAATTTTAGTTAGTCTCAAATTTAGTCTTCATTTAGAACACTTGAGTGTTCACCCCGGACACCTGGTCATCTATCTTCGGGTCGTAATAAACATGGTAATAATAGATGGACGATGGACGATGATACATGATGTACACCATTTGACGGTGATGGCAGACGTTTAGCAATGTTCCAAACTGAAACTACGATTATCGACGTCTTTGTCATATTATTTAACAATTTATTTTATATCTATTAAAAATTACCAACAATTGATCGACTATGTATTGAAATTGGGATAAATAAGATTTTTTGTTAAAGGAAGACATTTCGGGGAGGGGTCAGATCCCTATAACCCTACCCCTGCGTACACCACTGACCTATAATAATAAATATGTAGCGAATCAATAACACATAGACGTATTTCTCTCCAACATAGTAATTGTTTCAATCATAATATTGTTATAGTAATATTATCTGAATCTTAAAACGATGAACGTATTTCATATAGACATATGACATGTGTTGCTTTAGGGCGAAATACAATTTTAAAGAAATTGTAGACAGCAAAATTAAATAAATATCGGTAATGAAATGCCTTAAAGTGTTCGCTTAAGGGTGAAAAATATCTAAAGACGATATTTGGATGTGGCCAAATTGGTAATAACCAAACTGATATACAGGTGCTGACAGTACTTAGCTATTCAACAGTGTAATATTATAATATATTGATATATTGAATATTTTGATAACATGTAACGTTGAGCCGTCATATCGTAGGCACGCTGTCAGTAATAAATGGAACAATGATTGTGTTTATTATTATGGGTACCTACATATTGCAGTGTGCGAGTGTTGTGATGTTTAAAGTTATGGATAAATGTTATCTAAACATATAGAACTGTCAAATAGGTTAGGTTATTGCGATTCAAAGTGCAATTTTAAAGTATTACATTTGTTGTCTTCGACATTTGAGTGGAGCCACTACAAATGTTTAAGATTATCATATTATATCATTACAATTTATTATATAATAATATAAACTATATTGTCGATGTGTAATGTGTATATTGGTGATGACAAGTGTTGTGCTGTTCGTGTTTATAATATCTATTGACTTGTTGTGCAGACGTCCTTGCTAAAACAAAATCAGAGCAAACAATATAATATATAAAATATTATAATACATTAGCAGTTTTGGTGTGATTTTGAGTGTCACTTTCCCCGCCACCCCTATTCGACCATCGTGTAATTTATCTTTATTTTTTTCTTTTAATTCAGATCAAAAATAATTGTTACATATTGTTGGTATAGATGCATTATACATTATAGTATTATACTAATAACCACTGTTATTTTATACCCTGGTCAAAATTCTTAAAAATTCGGAGGTATTTCGCTTGAAAAAAAATCCCATGAGTACCCTACGGCCTACCGGGCATTATTCATCATTGAATATACTTCAAAAATAATATCGTCTCTACAGCACATATATTTCCATGAAATTCCCAAAAGTCAGGATTTCAACTAGTATACAAATTAAACTATAATTACTGTGAAACTTCTATCTATACCGCAGACACTCTCGGTCTCTGACATTTTTCCGCTTTTCAGAGGTCTCCGTTAGGGAAGGTTTTCAAGTGTATCTACTAAATCTCACAACTAAACAGTTTTTTTTTCGTCGTTGCAACAGGTGATGAGGGTAAAATGTCGGATTCGCTCAAATGGTTTGCATTCGTGTCGTACGGCGTCGGTCACGTGCTCAATGACTTGGTCGCCTCCATGTGGTTCACCTACGCCTTGGTGTTCTACCACTACGTCATGCAGCTGTCCAGCATCAATGCCGGGGCTGTGGTGCTCGTCGGCCAGCTAACAGACGCGGTTGCGACGGCCGCAATAGGCGTGTTATCAGATAACGCCAACATCTATTGCACCGATCGATACGGCCGCCGCAAGACTTGGCACCTCTTCGGTGAGATATATTTTAATAGTTAATCGTTACAACGGATATTGCATGTTCGGTCGCACACGTTATATACAGGCGGATATTGGATATTTGGGGTGGATGATGAGGGAAGTAACTTCAGCTAGTAACCATGTTATATACCTATAATATTCCTGGTCAAACTTAAGTCTAGTGGAAGCATAATATTAGCTTCTATATCCTTGGATTTATGCATTTCCTATCCCAGACTATAGAAAAGAAAGAGAGATTCAAAAGTCAATATCATCGAATGTTACGTGGACTATTACGATGTATAATAAGTAAATATTTAAAAATGCAAAAGATTGGTTTAAAATATCAAATCCCAAGTCTGTCTGTATATTACGAGTATATACCACGCCTGCCCTATAATATAGGTAAAATACGATTTACTCAATTACTTATCCGTCCTTCGCAGGCAGTGTACTGGTGTTCATAAGTTTGCCGTTCGCGTTCTCACCACCCATAATACCACAAGTCGAGAGCTCCGAACTGAACACCGCTCTGTACTACTGTTTCTTCATCGTCTTCTTCCAAATCGGATGGGCATCCATCGAAAACTCGCACATGGCGTTGGCTTCGGACCTGACGCCGATAAGGGACGAACGAACGGCTTTACTATCCATCAGGTACATATTAAAACCATAAATATAACAACAGATCTATAGCTATATAGCATGCCTATAAGTACAATTGTATTATGCACGCTTCCTATTTTATTTTTATTTGTCGATCATCACTTTTATATGCGTTTGCAATACTTACACAGGTATAGTTTTACCGTCTTTGCAAACATCCTGGTGTACGTAGTCACCTATATCGTGCTCAGAAGTAACAACGCGAGCAAAACTCAATTTGGACCTTCAGAAAGAAAAGAATTCCAAGTACATATAATATACTTTTTTGATTTATTTTCCGCCACTATATACGTGTATACGGTATACCCATATATATAATCTACATTGCCTGCCCACTTTATAAATTTATAAAAGCACCGTTTATTTAAGTAAAATTAAAACAAAAAAAGTTAGATATAAGTAATAATAAAATTGTTTACCGTTACTTCTATGTATGTTGTTTGTTATGAAAATATAAGTAAACTTTTGACACGATATTATCATATAGAGGTAGGTATCTGGTATAGTTTTATAAGTACTGTATAAAAAACTAATTTTTACATATATTGTTAGCGTATTTAATACCTAATGATGGACATATACCTATACGCACATAAATTATCGTAAGCTTTGAGCATATAATATATACCTATGTATAATGTATATGTAAGTACTATCATTACTCATTAGTGTCAACTTATAACCTAATTGAACTTGGAAAAAGTTGGAACGAATGACAATTATTATACGTTTCTGTTGAGCTGTATAAATTGAACACATAATAATATCGTAGCTCTACGCTACGCGAATGCAGAACAATAATTATCACACTGACATTCCACCCTCATCTCACTCCATTTTTTTAAAAATAAATTATTTTTATTTTTGTCTTCATTTGTAATAAAATAAAACAGAATAAATGCCCAAATATTTCCATAAATACCTATATTAATTATATATATTATTATGTATTTTAATTTCGATTGATCATTGGTCTATTCGAAATAATAAAAATTACTGTTAAAATAAATAGTAATGTTACAAACAATTATTATTATAATAATCAAAATGTTTTACAAAAATCCATTGCAATTATAGTACTGGAATTATAGGTACCATTTATATCCAAAACCCCCTAAATTGAACAGACCATTACAATATGCATCTATAATAATTGTATTCATAGAAATATTTAGAAATTTGTTCTGTTTTTTTTTATTACACATAAAAACAAAATTAGACATAAGACAAAAAAATAAATAATTTTATATAAAATTAATTTTTTTTTTTTAATGGTGGGAAAATGTCCTAATTAGAAAATATACAGGCAGAAAATAGCCGTGGGGTAAATGTACAGAGGGATTGTCCATGAACCCATGAACAGTATGGTTCGGATTCTTAAGGGGGTTTGATAATACATTATGCAGTTTAACCGAAATATCTTAATTTAATAATTTTAAATTTTAAATTAATTAAAATAAACTTTCATAAAATTACGTACAAGTTAGTGGGGCACATGTCGGTTGTGACGCAATAACAATGTTGTATAGGAAAACTGTCTAAAGTAATTTTCACACGATTTTATCGATTCAAGCAAAACCTCATTGTATATTTACAATTGTATTAAAATAATAATTTTAAATACCTATGTCTAAGTAAGGTGTTTTTTCCAATAGTTCATGATCGTGAATCTGGCCAACCCACTATATCTCAAATCAATCTAACCGTTACTCATATCAACATTTATTAAATAATTAGCAACAATTTGGAAGGGGAGATGGTATTTTGCGCCAATTTAATTACCTGTAATTTGCGCCATCAAAAGGTACATTTAAGGGCATAAATAATTTGGGCCAAAATATAAAAATATAATATGTATTTTGCGCCACATATACAAATTAATTTTGGTAATTTGCGCCAAGACAGAAAACAAAATGGAATATGTAATTTGCGCCACACTTCCAACTTCAATATTGTTGGAATTTATCAGCAGATAAACTTACCGATATTGCATAAGATATACAATAATAAGCACCGACGTGTGTCCAATATAATATTGTTGTTTTCTACTGATAAAAGACATTCGTTTTACTTGTATACATTTATTTATAATTATAATATGACTGATTTTTATATGTCTTATTACTAAACGAAAATTCGTTTTACTTGTGGCGCTAATTACAATTTCGATAAGGTGAACTATATATGGCGCAAATTACAATTTTTGTAGGTAAACGATGCCGCAGATTACATATTGCCTTTTTATTTAGTTTTATTTGGCGCAAATTACAAACTTAAAAACTGGCGCAAATTACCAAGATACAATTTTAGATGTGGCGCAAATTACATATATATATATTTTTTTTTTTTTTGGTTGTTTTTGACGCAAATTACATACGCCCTTTGGATGTTAGGTTTTTAAATTTGTAAAGCATTATATATTTATATTACACTTTTTTTCACCCACATGTCCGAAACTGATGTCGTTTGACTCCTTACATAATTAGCAATTATTTGCACACTACTACCTGTGGCCTACCAAGAAAAATTGACACAGGTTGTAGGGTGGACTTGCAAATACTTGCAAACTATATGGAATTGAACAAGACCCGTCTCGAACGTGATGGGTGAAAAAAGGTGCAGCCTTTCTTTATTTTTGTTCCATAGTTGAAAATAATGACTTTCAAATTTTAAAACCTATCTTGAAAATACTTGACAATTATTTGCTTAATGTTGATTTTGGTTAGATTGATTTGAGAGAAAGTGGGTAGGCCAACTTCACGACCATCAATATAGTTCACCTCCTAAAAATATGCAAATGAAAAACAAAAATGTTCTCATTTAAAAAAAAAATTTAATACAAGAAAATATATGACAATCCTGTTTTTATCAGATTTCTTGACTAAAAAAAAAATCATTAAACGACCGTAAATGTTTATATAGATAGTAATATTGGTGATAATGATTGTCGGGGCTATGACGACCATAATATTTCACATTGGTGTACGCGAACCACTTATCAACAACCGTGTGAATCGACAGCTCCTGATGACAGAGACGGAGGCTGAACGCGCAGCCAACAGTATTTTGTCCATGTTCAAAAGCATCACCCTTTACCAGACGGCCGTCGTGTACATGTGTTCTCGGATCACAGTCAACATGACTTTGGTAAAAAATTCGCTTTTTACATAGAATATTTTATATTTTAAATGGACCCGCGCTGGGTTTTGTGTTTGAATTATTGTTATTACCAGGGCTGTGAATTTAATGCATTAAATAAAAACCCTTAATTAGAAAAGACCAAAATTATTAAATATATCAACGAAAAATAATACCATAAAAAAGGAAAAAAATAAGCTAAAAAGCCAAAAAAAAAAACACCTAAAAACTTGCTAAAGTATGGAAATAACAAAATGTCAACATTGAGTGGTACCTAATTAAAACGTAGTGTTAAAAAAGGTATGTCTTACAATAAATTTTAATTAATGCATTTTCCTACAAAATTCACATCCCTATAGTTATTATATTATTATTGTTGACGTGTATATACATATAATAAGTATATTGTATATATATTATACATATAGGTGTTCTTGCCGATGTACTTACAAGACTTTTTAAAACTGGAAGCCGAAAAACTAGCACTGTTGCCCTTGATAATGTTTGTCAGCAGTTTTGGTATGTCGCTCCTCAACAAACCCATGAACATGAAACTCGGTAGAAAGGTACGAGTGTTTTTGTTCGAATGACCCGACACAAAACAGCATACGTTATAAAATATATTTTTAACGATTGAACATTTTGCAGTATACATATTCGTTTGGCGTGGTGTTGTCATTGGGTTCCGCGTTTTGGTGTTATACAGGCGAAGGTGACACATATGCCAAATATCAAATATACGCGGTCACTATCATAATAGGTAAGTAGTAGCTGCACACATACCTGAAGACATAGGCGCCAATTGTGTGGGGGGGGGGGGTTGCTAGGGAGTCTTTACCAACCCCAGACTCAAAATAAGCACTGCGATGTGTTTTCCGATTGTTCAAATTCATTATATTAGCATTTATATTTTGATATTATTTACTGTAAAGTGGTTTAATATTATAATTTTTACCACAGTTATTAATATTATGAATGACATTTGGCTTGGGGAATATCATGCAAAAAGGGGTTTCCCTAACTTATATATATTGCTTCAAATTGCTATCATAATTCCAGTATACCTATTATATAAGTCCTGTAACACGTGAGCTCAGTTTTTAAATAAAATATAAAAAAAATTGGTTACGTCCACGATTACGTTCATGACTTCGTGAACAACGGTTCACTGGTATAACTATATTAAAATCTTAAATATTTAAGTTGATAGGTAGGTATTACTATTTACAAATAACTTATAAAATCAGTTAGTTTTAGATAAGTAGGTACACTATAAATGCAAGAAAATTAGTTTTGAAATAAATAATAATACATTGGAACTTATACATGATGTGTTTATTATTATTTTTTGTTGTTCTTTAATAATAGATATAGATTGTATTAGTATTTATATAATGTGACGTATTTACAATAGTAAAACTCATAAGTTTACAACGTAAAAATAAATAATAGCTACTAAATAATGTACTATCTAATTTAAAGTTGTTTTAAAGGAGCTATTGGAATGCGAACTAATTGGTCGGTTGTTACCAATTTTAACACCCCCTGAAATTTAGATCTAGTTGTTCCAATAAATTGCGTCAAGTACAAAATATGTTTATAGCTTACCTATATGTGCATTGTGCCTATTTTAATAACCATTTATATACATACCTACACGATTCCGCATGTTTTTTTATGCAACGCGTTGCAACGTTGCCATTACATTTGTTTGTCGAGAAAACCGGTGTCGAGTATATTATATTTTATTATATAAAAAAATAAAATCAAAATAGTAATTCCATAACAAATAAATATTTTTGGTTATTGATTATACTTAACTATTGAGGCGTGTAGTATTTGTTAATTTTTTCTATTTTTTAAAATTTTTATTGTTATGAAATAAATAGTTAGTTGCTAGGTGTAATATAATTAAAATGGGATGTTTTTTTTTTTGATAAAGTGAAATTGTTTTATATCTATATCAAATTTTAACCTGCTTGAGCATAGCTCTCATTAGCCCATTGGCCAAATTAGGGGGGGCTTAGCCTTCCCCCAGATTTTAATCATATTTTAGTTAAAAATATTAGTTATCGGTTTCTGTGCTGCTGATATAATTCAACCCCTACCCTCCCCAGAAAAATGTCCTTAGTTGTGCCTATGTGCGTATGTTTGTACTCGAAAAACTCGAAAAATTGTTTAAAAAAATTTAGGCTCAACGTTACATTCGAATACGCTCATGTTGTATAAGCCTAAATACTTTATCTGATCAGTAGAAATAAAGTTGGGGTTACAGAAAATAGTAAAGTAACTATCAATTATTATCAATAAAACATAAAATGTATACATTTAAAAATTGTTAAAGGATGTATTGCATTTTTCAACGGAATTTCTTATAATGTTCCCGCTGATTGCCGTCTTATATTCTGAATTTTAAAATTGTAGTGGCAATTATTACCAAGAATCAATCAGCCAAAGTTATGCAATTGCACACCATTATTAGTTAAAAATTGATAAACAATTAATTGAAGCAACAATTTTAATTCGACCTCATAAAGGCGAAAACGTATAGGTACTACTTCCACGAATACCACTTATTCAGACAAACTTGTTTTCTCTATGACTATCAATAAAGAGCAAAGACTATATTTTTCAGTGTGTTGTTTAATTTATAGAAAACGATTGCTTCTCTGATAATATGGGCTATATTATGCTATTCATAATCAATGGTCATGCGCTCCAAAGTCGGTAATCCGTCAGATCTTTATGTTTAAGCAAACCAGCAAACATAAAAATATGTAATAAATCCAGAAGCTTTACAATAAAATATGATTTTTTTTAGTAAAAAAACACATTTTTACTTCCTTTTATTTCACATAGCCACAACAATGCATATTTCATTTAATGATGTGTTTTTCGGTGAATATATAAATGTTCGCTAGATTACGTTTATTTACTTTAGCATTCATTTCATATCAGACTAAGCCACATCACCCCGTGCCGGGGTTCAGCTAATAAAATATAAAATTTAATTTATGAACTTTATATTGATAAATGCAGATGAGGTAAAAGCATGTATCAAATCATCGCGTTTATGGCCTCGGATAAAGTAAATTATATCTTAATAATCTTAATTATGTCTTATGAGAGTAGCTTTTGTACTAAACAAATCCTTTTCGGTTATCGATTTTGTGAAAATTTCAGGCTGTTCTTAGAGATATCAGGAAAGTTTTGAGTGTAGTTTGAACCACGATCGATTATTTATACGAACACCAAGTGCTATCCACCACAGGCGTATTGTTTATCTCGGTCGAATTAGTTCAGAAAGCTAGGTCACCAACACCGGTTTGCTTGTACAACACTAAAACCAAGATAAGCCTATATAGAAATTTATATTTTTTCATTTTTTCACGGATTAAGTCACCTACAGCTGAAAATTGATGTTGGTTTATCCGAAGTTAATAGAATCAAAATCTATTGGACCGTTTTCAATAAAAGTGAAATCAATATAGATTCCTCATATCCTCGAGACTTGGTAGTTGTTAGGTTATTTTACCCTATAGCCTATAGGTAGCCAAACGTTAGCTCACGCCTCACAAATGCATTTTTTTCAGCTCACGAAAAATAATATTTATTTTGTTGATATAAATGGTTGCCATTGGTTACATATTATCTAGTTGGTACTTGGGCGGGTCAAAAGTACAAATTCTCAGTAGTTTTCAAAAGCACCGTGAAAAACAAAATACAATTTAGGAAAAACAGGAATTTTTATGCAAAATCTGTTTTCGGGAAAATCAATTTTGGTTTTTGATGCAACTCTTAAACAAATGACCGTAGGTACATGAAATTTTGACTGTATGTTTATATTAGCATTTTCTATACACCATAACATTTTCCAAATATTTTGACTTATTTTGAGCTGTTTATGGACATTTTCAGTTTCCATTTTTTTTTTAGTTTTTTTTCTTATACCTAAATGTCAAAAAATTGTATTTGTTGGGTAAAAAAGTGAGAAAATGTAATGTAAAGCTCCTGATTTATTGTTACAATAGCAGTTGAAAAATATAATAAATGATTTTTTTTATAAGCAATTAAAGATCGACGTTCGACAAAATTTATCGAATTTAAAATATAATAATTATTTTGTAGTTAATAATTTATAAAAAGTTAAACTTTTATAGCTAGAGATTAAAAAATTTAAAACAAGGTTCCACGTAAGTCGTAAATAGGTTATATATAAATTACTTCATTCACAATAATATCACCAAATATACTTAGTAATATCATAGGCTGACTGACCGTTTTCGCTCAGAATCGTTTTTCTTGTACAGTTTTATTATATCATTGAAATCAAATTTAATATCATCCATTACAGTGACCCATTTGTTGCCTACTATACAGCAGAGTGACATCCACTTGCCCACTTTTTTAAAATTTAAATTGACATTGTGTATATTTTTGTATTATTATAATAACTATAATGACTTCTCGTGGTAGAGTTAAAAAAACTTAGTTTGTGTGACACAAAAATATCTATTTAAATTTTAAGCCCCTAAAATAGCTAACATAAATGAAAACCGAGTAAGTAGGTACTTAATAGTTTATTATATATGGTAAAACTTGTATTTTTCTAACAAAAGTATTAATATAAGGTATTGAATCAACATCATAATATTGTTACAAAATGTATACTTTATTAAAATATTTTGTAATAAACAATACTGTAAGTAAAAATTATAATTCTTCTCTCTATGATTTTCAATACTCAACTACAGTAGAAAAAATTGATAAATTGAGGAAAAATTATATATTTGAAAAAATAAGGAAACTAAGAGACATGAGAGATGTTATTTATTTTTTGTTTTAATACAAAAAATTATATTATTATTTTGTAATAATAATAATTTAATATACAAATTGTTATAATTCAATGTTAATATTGTTAAAAATAAGGAAACTTATGTCCGTATGCATATAGTAAATTGATATGTTACATAAGACATAGTTTAACATCTCTAATGTGACACTTAAATTGACTATGCATACGGGCATAAGAGACAGAAGAGATGTTATTTATTTTTATTTTATACAAAAAGTGATATTATTATTATTATCATTTTTAAATTATAATATAATTTTGTAATATTAATAATTTAATATACAAATTGTTATAATTCAATGTTACGGCCCCTGCAAACGTGTCATTTTTAAGGAGTTGTGCTTAGGCAATTATTTCGTTCCTTCGATTACTTATCGTCTTTGTGTGTGTAGTAAATGATCATTAGTGTGTGCATACTTCCCTACCATCACCCGCGACCCGCATCAATTTACAATACATTGTTATTTCTTATCTGGTTTATGGTCGCACGAACGCACATGTACAAGTCATTTAATGTCCAGACTAAATCAAAATATTCAAAACCAATTTATGGACATGAAATAACCGTCGCACTGACAAAAATTAAGGTTCTTCTAGTGGTTCGATTTAAAAAATGTAGAAATATTTGTTCTGGTAAACAAGTTTACTTTGCATCGGTCGGAGCACTTTTTCAATTTTAGCAAATTCTTGACGAGAATACATATTTTACATTTTATAAATTTATAATTTTTTAGTATTGAATATATTCAAAAATATCTAAAATATAAAAAATATGCTCCGACCGATGCAAAGTAGACTTGATGACCAATTAAAACATCTTTACATTTTTTAAATCAAACGATTAGAAATACTTTAATTTTTGTCTGTCGCTAAGGTCGTTTTGATGAAAAATTAATAGGGTTTGCAGGGGCCTTAGTATTGTTAAAAATAATCAAACATCATGTATTAAAAAAAGGTTAGGTTTTTTTCTCAGATAGATCTAGAATATCATACACCTGAACAAAGTTTGAGTCATATACAATTTGTACATTTAACGGTTAACGAAGTGCACGGGATCAGCTAGTATTATTATATTAATTAAATCATAATTTTTAATACTTAATACATTTTGTTTACGGCCAAAATAATATTAAAATCAATTTAAAAGGTAGTGTAACAAAGCCATATAAATAGAAAAATTTCAATTTTTGTTCTTCCAAGTTGAAATCGATCAAAAGTAAAGATATTTACAGCCTTACAGGTATTTTCACTTTATTATAATCACAACAAAATAATAAATATGTATCTGCCCCTGATAAAAAAATTGTCATTTTATTCCAAACTTTCAAACTGATTTCCTGATCATTTCTTTTTTTAAGTTATGGTCGAATTTTGTTCAATGCCAGGCTTTACAGCTAGTGCAACTTATTAATATAAATTGTTGATACTTGGTAAACCGATATATTTTACGATAATAATAATTAATAAGAAAAATTAAATTGCATTAAAATACATGTGTATTTAATGAGTCATTAATAATTCTATTAATTTTATCCATTTGATAATCAACTATGATTGTTTGATTTATGTTGTGTACTGACGTTTGACAGTTCTGAATCTGTAAAATGGGAAATCTGTTTAGGAACATTTTCAGTTTCCAATTTTAATAGTCTTTTTTACTATGAATGTCAATAAAACTTTATTTGTTCGGTAAAAAAGCTTGAAAACTTAATGCAAGGCTCCTGATATATTGTTACAATAGCAGTTGAAAATTATTAAAAATGCATAGGCACAAATTTTTTTTTATAAGTATTTAAATATCGAATTTTGACAGCATTTATCAAATTTAAAATTGAATAATAATTTAGTAGTTAAAATTGTATAAAATGTTCAATTTCTATATCGAAGGATTTAAAATTTAAAACAAAATTCCACGTAAGTAGTTTATTCTGTTACCAAAAAATCTAAAAAAAATACATAATCACAGTTTATTTTTACAGTCATTTTAAGTTCAAATTTGGACGAAATTACATATTAAAAACCTAGAATAACTATTTTAGTTATTTTTTTGTGATTGTATAATATTATTCGTGGGTAATTGAAACTTCTAAAGTATACTATTATATATTTTTTATAGTATCACGGTTTATCGATTTTTCTTATACAATGATATAATATCATTGAATTCAAAATTAAAACCATCCATTATACCCCCTTGTAACCTACTGTAAGGCAGAGCTACTTTTTTGGATTGAATTTGGTGTACATTTTGGTCCATATGGGTCTATAACTTGAATGTACGTCAGACAATTACATACCAGCAATAATAATAATAAGTCTTGTCAGTTGTCGTTTTTGACGTGTTTGCGTGTTGTGGTTTTTGTAGGTATTGCTTGTTCGGTGGTATTGGTCACCAGTCAAGCACTGACCACCGATTTTATTGGCGACAGGACGCATAGAGGCGCCTTCACATTCGGCCTGATGAGCTTTACCGACAAAGTATGCAACGGGGCCGTAGTCATGGCCGTCCAATCTTTGTAAGTACCAAAAACCGTTTCTTTCAATATTTTATGTATGCATCATTGTGCCGACTACCACTAACCCGATTACAACCTCTTACTACAGTCACTGCGCTTCGTGTCCGAGTTACTATCGAGACGTAATGGTATACAATTGGACGATTCCTTCATGTTTGGCGTTTATTGCGGTCATCAGTTTGCCCTACGGAGGACGTCCAAGACTGAGTGAGTTATCACTTATCTTAATTATTTGATTTAAACATTAGCAGACACCGACCAGATGGTTGATAATTGATATCATAACTTATAACTGTATGTTCTTGAAATAGTTGTACAGGAAGTACCGGAGACGCGTTCAGGCGGCAATCAACACGCCGGCCAATCGAAAAAGCATTCGATCGAAAAGGGACAAGAGGCCCTACCCAGCAACTCGGTGAAATCATGACGGAATGGTGGAATCATCTAGTCATAGTCGATAATATGATATTTTAAAATAAAACATAAATTTACAGTTAACAAGTGACTATTTATATTTAATTAATTAATTAGCTTGTAGACATTTTATTATTGTGTTGTTTATAAATTGTATAACGCGGTAGGTATCGTCTAAAACAAAACTCTAATAAACAATAATCATAGTAAGACGTACTCATATAGTCATATGTACAAGAGTCGTGTTATAGATTTAAGGTAGTTGATGATACTGATTAAACCGTGTTTCGATTATACCATATTTATGATTAGTTTATTGTACCCGGTTACTTGAATTACTTCAACAACTGTTGAAATTGTGTAAATTTAATCAAAACATTTATATTTTTATTTTAAACAAGCTAAGGTATAGTATGAATTGTTATTGTTATTAATTATTTATTTTTATATATAGAATATCGATGTCCACATTACATCTGATATTCTAAATAATAACATAATAATGTAAATTTTATTATTTTCAAACAACTATGTGATAATAATTGTATTGAAATAATGTTTTGAAAAAAGGTAAAGAGGCTAAAGATATATATATATTTTTTTATACTAGTCTTTAAATTACAAATTTAATGGATTACGAGTTTAATTTTAAATGTTATTTTGTACATAAAATACAAAATTGTTTATTTGTTTTTTTTTTTAAGAAATTTGTTTTAATAGGTACAGTGAAAAGCTGATAAAGCTTATAAATATTATGCTAAAACTATTGTTAAACTATGTTTTGGTTTTTAACAGTATTTTTTTTTTCTTTTTAATTAAGATTTTTATAAATTGTTGTACGGTACAATTGTTTAGTATAAGTAGACAATATTAACGTTTCCCTCCAAAGATAATTAATTATACATTACCATTATTCATTATTATTAATTATTATCTAATTATTATAAATATATTTAATTGATCAACGTTTAAATTTTATTTAAAAGAAATAATAATCAATTATTTTTGTTTTATGTAACACACTATATTTTATTAAATATATTATTACTAACACAATTTGTAAACATTTGAAAATGTTATTTTTTTTTTGTTATATTTTATTATGTTTGTATCATGATTTATTTTTACGTTATCTCAAATATATTATACATTATTTTATAATACCTATCTACCCAAAAATGTGTGTTTCATAAGTTTCATTTAATAATGAAACTTCGAAAAGAAGCATACACCTCTATTCGTAGTATTTTGGCAATAGGCAAGCTTAAGAAAATATGTTTATGTGCATCCCTGAGGTGGAAAAAACTAAGAGCAGAGATATTTTATTATTCTTTTTTAGATTTAGATAGGAGCAATAATTGGGTTTAGAATTGGGTTTTTTTATGTCCTTAGTCGCCGTTTAAAACAGTAAAACTTAATTTTTACTTTTGTGGGTAATTTTTGGTATCAAATCTGATCTAGTATCGTTATTTGGGTGTTTGGGGGAGGGTCTCAAGAGTAAAAAAATACCTAAAAATCACAAAAACAAATTAACAGAATTTTTATAAATAACCAGTTTTCAACAAAATCTATTTCGTTCTTTTTGTAGTTAAAAAATGAATAGTTGAAACTTTAATGTTTCGCCAATATATACCTATGCGCTTTCTCGATTTGATATAATTTTTTCTGCGCATTCTATTGAAATTTAAAATTTTCGATTTATGTATGATACAATTTTGTTTTTGAGTAAAAATGCTTGAAAATATAATCCAAATGGTAACATATAAGTAGTTTTTACCACAATTCAAAAATATCGAAAATACAGTAACAGGTTTTTTTTTGAAGCGATTAAAACTTCAACATTCTTTCAAAAAAATGTTTGTATTTTATTTTTTTTGTGTCAGTGTACACTATAAGTAGTCGAAATAAAGCTTGGCTTTTCAACTTCAGTATCTTGTTCGATTGGAAAGTGAATATCGTTGGTGCATTGGGGAGGTCAAAATTTAAATTTCACAGTAGTTTTCAAAAGCGCCGGGAAAAACAAAAGAAAAATTAAGGAAAAACGGGAATTTTTACGCAAAATCTGTTTTCGAGAAAATCTATTTTGGTTTTTGCTGTAACATTAAAACAAATGACCGTAGATACATGAAATTTTCAGTGGTTGTTTATATTTGCATTTTCTATACACGATGACATTTTCAAAAGATTTTGATTTATTTTGAACTGTTTAGGGACATTTTCATTTTCCAATTTTATTAGTTTTTTTTTTTATGAATATCAATAAAAATTTATTTGTTGAGTAAAAATACTTGAAATTTTAATTCAAGGCTCCTACTATATTGTTTCAAAGACAGATGAAAAATACTAAAAATCGTTTGTCACAGTTTTTTTTTTTAAGCATTTAAAGTTCAAAAAATGACAAAATATGGAAAAATCACGAAAATTTGCAAATTATTTCGAGTAAGAAATTCATAAAAATTTTTCTTTTTAAATCTAAGATTTGAAAATCTAATACAAGATTACTCATAAGTTTGTCTACCTTTATCAATAATAAAATCTCTACCGGAAAGTCAAATTAAATTTTAATGAGCGTTTGAAATTCAAATTTTTACAACAATGGATATTCACTCGATTTCCTTATTTTGTTGTAATTCAAAAACGAATAACTGTAGATACATGAAAATTTCACGGAATATTCATATTAGCATTTTCTATACACTGTACAATTTTGAAAATATTTTGACTTTTTTTGAGCTGTTAACGGACATTTTCAGTTTTCAATTTTTTTAGTTTTTTTTTCTATAAATATCAATTAAATTTTATCTGTTGGGCCAAAAAGTGTAAAAATTTAATACAAGGCTCCTGATATATTGTTACAATAGCAATTGAAAAATTTTAAAAATACATAGGCACAATTTTTTTTTATAAGCATTTAAAGATCGAATTTTGACAACATTTATCAAAATCTCGAAAATTATCAATCATTGTAATTAATAAATTATAAAATCTTCCGTTTTTATAGCTAAGGATTGCAAATTTAAAACAAAGGTTCTCATAAATAGTTCATACTGTAACCAAAGAATCTAAAAAATATATGAACACAGTTATTTTTTACAGACATTTTAAATTCAAATTTGGACGAAATTACATAATAAAAGACCTAGAATACGTAACTATTTTAGTTATTTTATTGTGATTGTAAAATATTTTTCGTGGGTACTTGAAACTTCTAAAGTATACTACTACATATCTATGATAGTATCAGTTTTTGATGTTGGTGTATAACGCGTTATAAGTACCTAATGGATATTGTGATATGATTAATTTTGAATTCATTATAGGTACCTATTATAGGTCAAATGTTGATTTAGTACCATAGATATGTATATATAATATGTCTTATACCTAGACTGACATACCGTCTCCGCTCAGAATCGTTTTTCTTATACAATGATATTATATCGTTGAATTCAAATTTAATATCATCCATTATACAGTGACCCACTTGTAACCTACTGTACAGCAGAGCGACACCCACTTGCCCACCTTTTTAATTTTAGCATCAAAAATTTGAAAATTGAATATTATAAGGTTTTAATAAATTATGAATATATAATTAATCATAGATATAAATTTATTATTATTATTTAATTAATTTGTATTAGCTTTCAGTTATTACAACTATAATAGCTCGACAATTATTATCATTTTTTTTTTTTAATACATGATATAAATATAACATAATATATAAATATAAGTGTTACAATAATTTTAAGTTGGAGGTATAGGAAAAGAAGATGTTAGTAAGTGATTGACAACTGTAGTTAGTAGAAGTAATAAGGGGTTAATTATGGCTTTAGCCTTTAAGGTCCCCGAGAAATTTGGAGATCAGGCTTTCGGGCGTAGCTGTTGAAGGTTAAGTATTGACAGTATGATTGGCAGTAAAATTGGCATATGAACGATTATGTTTCTGGTTGGAGCTGGAGGTAAATTTGTTTAAAGTCAGAATGGTGTCATTGAGCGCCGGATGACGATAAGGTTTGTGTGATTTAGATTTTCTGCGGTTTTCGCTTGGTTTTTTAAACACTGGATCACCTTTGTATGAGGCTGTGTGCGGCCCCGAACATAGGACACATTTGGCGGGTTCTGAAGGTGCTTTGGTGCAATCTGAAGTGTAATGATTATCTCCACAATTGACGGAACGTGGGGACTGGTGGCAAAAATTACTAGTGTGATAATAACTAATAAGCTCGACAATCATGGCATTGTGGAGCGGAGAGTTTTTTCTTGGGCAGGTCAACTTTGATTCTGGTGTGAAGAAGCAGGTCTAATTTGAGAATATCGCTGTTGTTTTCAGCAACTTTTAAATCAATTCGAAAAAGAAGCAAAGGTTTTTTAGTGTTGTGATGTAGAGTATTAGAGACCCGAATAACTTCGTGACCCATATCAGTTAGGCGGGATTGTATGTCTTCCACAGGAGTGGACGAGTCGAAGTGCCTGATATAAACGGCACATGGTTTCGAGCGATTAGGCAAGTATGTGTGGAATTTTATCTGTTCATTAGCGATAACTATAAACTAAATCATAATTATTGTTGACGCCGTCGGTGCGGATAATCAGATGCTTTGGAGTATTTTTAAATGAATACCCGAAGGAATGACAAGGTCAAGTAGAGATTTCTTGAGCGTGTTGAATTCGTAGCCACCACTTAAATAAAAGGGAGGTGCAAATTAAAAATTTTCACTTGGAAAGGATTCCACGTGACTGGGTGATGCGTTGAACTGGACTTTGGAAGGTGTTGTGATAGAGGGAGGGCTAAACACCTCCTGATCGAAAGCATTGTCCTCGGAGAGTGAAGCATAGCGATTTGGTGTGATGAATACTTTACTTAGGTTTCTGCTAGATTTTGTAGGTGAAGATGATGATGATGAAGATAAATTGAGTTTCGGGGTATTCCGAGACATGTTTTGATTAACAATACCTATTAAGTTTGACTCATTAGAGAAGTGTGCAAAAGATAACGGACAAACGAAAACGACGTCTGTTCATGTTATTGTTGGGCGATAAATGTGAACTCATATAAATTTAAAAAAGCGGGAAAGTGGGTGTCGCTATGCTGTACAGTAGGTAGGTTACAAGTGGGTTACTGTAATGGATGGTTTTAAATTTGATTGCAACGACATGAACATTGATATACACCTGTTTTTTTATATTTTTTAGTTACAGAATAACCTTATTTTTAACTACAAAATCATTTTAAAGTTTTCAATTTAATACATTTCGTGAAAAAACGAACTTTAAATGCTTATAAAAAATATTGTGCCAATGTATTTTTAATATTTTTCAACTGATATCGTAACTATATATCAGGTCACAGGAGTCTTGTATTAATTTTACACATTTTTTACCCAACAAATAAAATTTAATTGGTATAATGGTATTAAATATCAAATCTATACATTTTTTTTTTTTTTTATTAGCCCGACATTTATGGCCATTAGCTGTTTTTGGTTTTTTTGTAGATTTTTATGTTGGTAGGGGGGGACACGTGTGAGTTTGTTTAGCAGAATTTTCTATTTGGGCACCCGTAGGTATCTGCCATGCCCGGGTGGGGGATGGCGGCACTTATTCTTCGGATACCGTGACTTGCAAGAAGAAAATGCCGCCCATTACCGAGGTATCAAGCCAGCGTCCGCTACGTCTACGAGGTAATATTCGAACCTACAGGCTACAATACAGCAGAGTGAGTTCCCTGATTTTTGTTTTTTATTAAAGGTCATAAAGGAGTTAAAAACATTTTAACAATTTAATGCATTTTTACTTTAACATATACAATACTATTCAACAGCATTTATAATACATATATTTAATGGCTTTAAGTGAGCAATTTAGAATTAGTTAATAAATTAAAGGCGATTAAGAAATATTGTATTTTTATTACATTTTTAACGACAGACAAAATAAAAATACATGTACCTATTTGAATATGAATTATTAATTAATAAAAGATATTATATTTTATACATACAGAGTAATTTATGTTTTAACACAAACCATTCATTATCGGTTATTGGGTCTGTGCAAGTTTTCACATAATTTGAATCCTGGTTTACTATATCAAATTGGAAGTAATAAGTATAATTTTTTAATGTTATATATTGTTTTTTTTTTTTATTATTATTATTGTAAATGTAGCTAGTAGCTTTATTACAATCGTTCAAACTATGTAGAAACACTTGACAAATCATGAATGGTCTGTGTAAAAGAAATAAATCACATAGTATAAATTATATTATACTAGAGTCTAGAGACTAGACTATAGACATTTTTATTTTTTCATATCCAAATATTTCTTAAAAGTAAAAACAAATGGAAGTAATGTCAAATACACTAGGATTGATTTTATGGTGTTTCAATTATTTTTATTTATTTGTGTAAATTAATGTATTCAGAAAACAATAAGCCCGTTATTTTTTAAATTAATAAAATTGTATATACACCCTTTACCAATCTAAATATCAATAATTATTAAAAAAAAAAATAAACAAAAATTGTACAAAAAAAACAACAATAATACGCTGCACACCGTTTATGTTTTACAAAAATTAGTGTTATACTTTTTAATATCTCCTATAACACATAATAATATTATTATCAATTGAGTTTTGATAATGATACATTTCAAACACTGATGTTTCTTTTCTTGACAAAAATGAACAACTGAAGATTTACAAAATTCTGTTAGAAAGGCAGTTTTGGTTTTTAGCCAAGTGTTCATCTTACAATATCATAATAAAACACTAAATTAAGTAATAACTTAAAAAAATATTTAATAATGATTTTTCACGAATACAAGAATGCTCACATTTTTACAATTAATTATAATATAATATTCATAAAAATTTAAGTAATTTCAAATCACTTAATACAATTTTTTTCTAAGAAGTTGTCTTCTAATTTTAAGTATAGATTCTATAATCAACAAAGAATTGATTATCCTCTTACAGTGAAACAATAATAATTAATGGAGCAATTGTATGATCAACAATATCTTTTGAAATTATTACCAAATGATCGATAAAGCTAAAAAAAAAAAAAAAAAAATAATCATAATAATAAACAAAGAGTTGTACGAGTAAGCATAATAACTCAAGTACAAATAGTTTTAGTATTTGTTAGGGTTTAAGTATAGTAAAAAAAAAGTTAAGAACTAATATTTATATAAAAGTATACCACTTTCAACTATTTTAATAAAAGCATAATTTTGCACAACAACCATGGTTGAAGCCATATATTATTAACAATAAAACAGTTTGTTTAATTAAAATTATTATAATATTATAATCATAACCATAAATCTAAATGCTTATACATTAATATGCATGATTGCATAATGTGCATGCATTCGCCATTCATACATATACAATGCGTTTACTGAATAGTATATAAATATTTTCATTATAAACATTTTGACATAAATATAGGCATTTTTATAAAAGAGTGGAAAAAAGTGTAAACAGAATACACACCATTTATTAATCTCAACTTGTTACAAAATGTACTCGTACAACTCTTAAAAAATAGCCATTTGTTGTCTTTGAATTAAAATCTAAAATTATTTACAAATAACTTTTATAATAACTAAGCGCCACTAATATTGTAACGTGTATGTGGTGCTGGACTTGGTCAAAGCGTTTACAAATCATTTCCTCATTATTTTTTAAATTTTTAAGTGGCTTTAAGATAAATTGTTAAGATTTAAATCACTACCATATTCATTTGTAAGTAAAAAAAATAATTTTTTTTTTTAAACTGCTTTGCTTATTGGTTTGATAATTTAACATTTATAAGAAAAAAAAATTTTGATTTGATTTTAAAATTTTAAAATTATAAACCATTAACAACTAAAAATTATAGATAACACCCCAAGGCTTTAAGGTAATTTTTAAATTCAAAGAGCAAAAAAATTAAATAGTATTCCAAATTATTAAAAAATTTAACGGTTTAATAAGCTAACAAAGTCTGCTCTTCTTTTCAGTAAAATGGTACAATTTAACATAATATGATCTATTTATCTGGACTGCTTAGTTGAGAACATGGAGTTTTGTAAGGACTCCACCCTGGATTTAATCGTTCTTTTACTTACCCTGCTCAGGTACTAGAAAATACACAACTATTAATTAATTAGGACATTGATGTAAAATTCAGTCACTCTAACTTACCTGAGCCAGATAGATCAAAATTTGGGGTTCCGCGTGGACTCCAGCTTGCATTGTTGGCGACTGCCTCATCTTCCTCGGTGACTGAAAGCAAATGCAACAAAGTTATTAACAATCAGTAAACAATAGGCATGGACTTTGATGAGTCAACATACTCATATCACTCCAAGTGGTAATGTTCGAGTGTGTCGTTTTCGGACTTATTAGCTGCTGTCCCGTCGGAATGGATCCTTTGTGCAATACCCTGACGACGACGATGACGACAACGACAGAAACAAAAACAGATAGACGAAACGCAGTTAATAACGATCAACCATCGTACCACCGTCGACGGTTGACATGCAACGTTAACGATGATGTTGATGATAATAATAATAATAATAATAGTAATAATATATTTTATAGTATATAAGTAGGGAGGTATACTGACTTTTTTTTCGACGTCCACAAAACATAGTCTTCCCGCTTGAAGTGTTCGGAACATATCCTGAAACTCTTGGACACCTGGCTGGATCCGTGGTTCTTAAACTTCTGGATGACTTTGTCGTTCTGACACAGTTCGACCCATTGTTTACACCTGAAAAAAGTGGGGTGAAAAAAAAAGTCAAGCAAACGGCGTTAGAGAGACGGACGTCCGGAGTCGTCGAAAAATGCTCACAGGCTCTCGTTGGTCGGGAACTTGTGAAACGAAAGGTTCTGCGTGCTCCGACTCGAGTTGGTGCATTTGTTAAAACAACAGTTCATGTGCGACGGCATCGTGTGGTGGTCGTCGTCGTCGTCGTGCGCGCGGCGGCGTTCGGCGGGCGCGCAGCGTCGGTGGCGGCAATGCGTTACGGTACGTCCTTACTGTGCTCTGGGGCACACACGCGCGCACGTCGCGGGAAACGGGGCAGACGGTGGAAAATTTGAGACGCGCGGCGCCGAAGTCGGAGGAAATTTTTTTTTTAAAAATTAAAACGTTGTTTCACGCGCTGATAACGGGCTGCGTGATAACGGATCGCGTTGGCGGCATCGTCCGCCAGGCAGTGCGCTGTTTCTATTTTCCTCGGTCCGTCGTCCGTGCAACAACACTGCGTGTGTCTGACGGAACGGACACGATGTTTTATTATTTATCTGGTACTGCGGACGGTACAACAATGGTACGAACGTACGATATTAATATAATATACGACGATGTGCGTACTGTATTCGAACGCACGCGCTAGCGCCCACACGTAACGTTTGGGTAACGAGTGCGTACGCGTGTAGTTGTAGTAGTGCGCGTGCGTATACACTAAAGTCGACGGATCGTGCGCGTGCGTGCGTGCGTCAGGCGGCCATTGCGAGACGGCCGTCGTACGTGTGCCGTGCGGGTTACCACTTACCTCGACATGTACATTTCGCCGTCCGCGTGTCCCTTGTGGCCGCCGTGGATCACATGTAAATACGCGCTCGCACGCACACTCACACGGACACGTTCACAACAACGTGCGGCAGCCGCCAGCCCCACTACCGGCGACCGGTCCACGGGGCCCTGTTGCTGTAAATTGTAGTGCTGTGTGTGTGGTGTGTGTTTGTGTATTGCTACTGCGGTGCGAAGTACACAAACAATATTGAATATTATTGTTGTCGATGTTGTCGCTATTGTTGTTATTGTTGAAGTTGAAAGGCCCCTCGGTCCGCCGACAAGTTTTTTAAATAATTGTTATGATTGTGTTCATGTGCGGACTGACGTGTGGCGCTATTTGGGAGTTGGTGGGGTGTTGTTTGGCTCTCCTATTTTAGATTCTGAGCGGAGCGATGAATGTATTGGTTTTACAATGATGTGTGTTTTTTTATATTTTTTATTTTTTATTTTTTTTTTTGTGTCTGTCATCACGTTTTGGGACAGTAAAAGTGCTTAGATTTTCTTCAATAGTACCTTTTCTGATAGGAAAGTGAATCTAGTTGGTACTTTGGGGGGTCAAAAGTAAACATTTCCCAGTAGTTTTCACAAGCGCCGGGAAAAACAACATAAAAATTATGGAAAAACGGGAATTTTTACGTTAAATTGGTTTTCCAAAAAATCAATTTTGGTTTTTGGTGTAACTCTAAAACAAATGAACGTATATACATGGAATTTTCACTGGTTGTTTATATTTGCATTTTCTATACACGATAACATTTTCAAAATATTTTGATTTATTTTGAACTGTTTAGGGACATTTTCATTTTCCATTTTTTTTTAGTTTTTTTTCTAAAAATATCAATAAAATTTTATTTGTTGGTTGCGAAAGCTTGAACATTTAATAGAAGGCTCCTAATATATTGTTTCAAAGGCAGATGAAAAATATTAAAAATCCTTAGTCACAATTTTTTTTTTAAAGCATTTAAAGTTCAAAAATTGTAAAAATATGGAAAAATCACGAAAATTATCGAATTATTTTGAGTTAAGAATTCGTGAAAATTTTTCTTTTTAAATCTAAGATTTGAAAATGTAATACAAGATTACTCATAAGTTTGTCTACCTTTATCAATAAAAAAATCTCTACCGGAATGTCAAATTAAATTTTTATGAGCGTTTGAAATTCAAATTTTTACAACATTGGATGTTCACTCGATTTCTCATGTAGCGATTTCCTTATTTTGTTGTAATTCAAAAACGAATAACTGTAGATACATGAAAATTTCACTGAATGTTTATATTAGCATTTCCTATACACCATACAATTTTGAAAATATTTTGACTCTTTTTGAGCTGTTTATGGACATTTACAGCTTTCAATTTTTTTAGTTTTTTTTTCTATAAATATCAATAAAGTTTAATCTGTTGGGCCAAAAAGTGTAAAAATTCAATACAAGGCTCCTGATATATTGTTACAATGTCAGTTGAAAAATATTAAAAATACATAGGCACAGTTTTTTTTATAAGCATTTAAAGATCAAATTTTGACAAAATTTATCAAATTTAAAATTGAATAATTATTTTGTAGTTAAAAATGTTGAGCTCGAAATTTTGGTTCGACGGACACAACACATGTGGATATGGGTAAACGACGAATACAAAGTTATATAAAGATAAAAATATATTGGAGGACGAAGTGGCCGAGCGGACTAAGGCGCCGGTTCGAATCTCGGCCACGAGCGGCACACGGTGTCTGGAAAGAGAGGCCTTCATCCCCCACCCTTGCATGGCAGATATCTACGGAGTACGGGTGCCCCCACTTCAAAATTCTGCCAAACTAAAACACACGTGTTTAAAACCTACAGTACCTTTCCTGATAGTTAAAAACTACACAATGACCTAAGTTGCCGACGGTTAATTAATGAAAAAAAAAATGTATTTTTTAATAATCAATAAATTAAAAACTATATGTATGCAAAGATTGAGGTTAAACATTTAGTTTATCGTTTATGCCCAAAAAATTGGTCTAGGGACGCAACAGAAAAATTTATACATAATAATAATATATGCCGCAGTAATGCAGTATATATTATGAGCTGTTCATTGTTCGACAATTAAATATCTCGCCTACGTTCTAATAATATTTCGACTAAAAACTATATAGGTAGGTAATCTTATTATACTGCACTGATAATATATAGTATAACTTTATCATGCGCTATATATTATATTACCTATATCCATCTGATATTGATAAATTCAGTTCGTGTCAAGGACAAATAACAATCTCTTCTGTTTTTTTTTTAAAAAATCCTATACAATCGTTTTTTCTCACTTCTTTTAGTTTGAAACGTGCATTATTCGTTCGTTATTCGGCAAACGTATCTATAGTTCTGATGTAGCAAACATTTTTTCTTCCATATAAAATGTCACATTAGGTACGCATTGTACAATGTATATACCTAATACTATATACAGGATACAGCTATTGTAAAAAAAATATATTGTCAAAACCCATCATCATAATATTGTATACAGAAACAAGTGCAGTGTGCCCTTAGAACGTTTTTTTTCTCGTAAACAGAACAAGAGGGAGAAGGTGTTTCGTTTAAAACTACCCTTTATAGGTAAAAACACGTGGCCACTATAACACACCTCGCTGTCGGAGATCCATTCATGTATTCAATAATCTTCCTTAAATGGTAGAATAATACATAACATACTCGCATATGCAGAATGCCAGATATATTATGTTATATATAACTAATAATTTCAACGGAATTTACAACCCCAATACAATATCCAAACGTTAAATATTCTTATAGGGGTATACCTGTGTATATACGTTGTCTCGTGGCGCCCGTACCTACTACCTTGGGAGTAAATGTGTAAGAGAATATATATACAATTATACATTTGATCGAATACATGATCGAATAAATCTCGAACTAACCGTCACGTCGCTTCAAATATTTCTACTATCTTTCTTCTTTAGTCCGATCCAGACGGCCTGAACAACGAACGTCGAACCGTATATGTATACAGTATGGTAAATTTGCAACCCGAGCTCAAACTTGTAATGGTGCCGCCCTTCATGATTCACCTACCTATTTATACCGACAACATACAGGCATAAATAATAATAAATATTATAAAAATCTGTCAAGAAGTTCCATCACTGGATTGATTCTTCTCTCAAGCCTCCAACCCATCAACTCCCACAGCGCTTATACTAATAGTAAAAAATAAATGCACAGCTGATTGTATAATAAATTAATGTAACACAAAAAAAATTAATATTACATTATCACTGCAATGTTACAAATTTGTATTCGTTTTTATATAGCTATAATGAAGTTAAAAACCAAAACATTTTTTTGAAAACAATGTTTTTAAGATGAGATGTTTTTAGAGTATCTCTATAATATGTTTAAAATAAAAATAATAAAATAAAAAATTTAAATCTGAAATTTGAAAATGTTTTTTTACTGAATTTTACTTTTTGTTAATTTTGTAAAACATAAACATACGCGACAAGTGTACAACTATAAAAATGACACCACAACAATTAAGGAATTTTAATGTGGTATACTGGTATATAATAATACTATATTATATTTGAGATTACTTCCACCCAGTACAGTTGTCTACGGTGCTTAACTCTGTATTTAATGTTACTTATATAGTTATATTATATATGGGTATTGGGTATTTAAGGTATAGGTACCATACTACCATGAATCATGATTAACGTAATGCGACGCGCGAGTGAGTGTCTGTGACCGATTATAATATTATGTCGAATATTTAATATATTTAATGCTTGCGTGTGTAAAGATGATGACCGTGGTCGCCGCGCATTTGTATTATATTATTAATCCGATGTATTGCAGCAAGCAGTAATGCGCATGCGTTAGACTTTGACAATATAGGTAATCGTGAATTTAGTGAATATAGGTAATATTATAGTACCTAATATTATATTAAATGTGCTGGTCTTCGGCTTTGGAGTGACGGGTTACAAACGTGAAACATAACTATAGGTATAAATTATTATGTGATGTGTGCATAGGCGCAATTTAAACTTTTGACTTGGGGGGGGGGGGGCTGAATATATTATAGGCAAGCAGAAAATTGCTATGACCATTGTATGTCCAAAGTTTTTGTTTTGTTGGGGGGGGGGATACTGTGAAGTTTGGTGGGCTAAGCCCCCCCCAAGCCCCATTTTCCGCCTATGGATGTGTGCTCTGATCGATATTTTCTTACATTGTATACCATCCGGGTGTAGAAATATTTAATATGATATAACAACCGTGAGTTCACGGATCACTGGGCGGCGAGATTATTATAATATTATCGTAATATATATTATCTATATATATATATTATCTAT